GGGCTGGAATTGGGAACCGCTGATGTAGCCTATTGTAGTAATGTTGTCTCTGGTACTCTGGTCTGTGAGTGAGCGTATATGCATTCAGGGGGTGTGGCTTTGGACAGCGATTGCAGGGAGGGTGGGACATTCGCTTTCAGTGCTATCAGGCTAAAGTTAGCATTTTCCAAGATCTCCTATTGCGCCTTTAAGGGGCATTACATTTCTGTCACACGCTTGAGGTATTCAGCCAATCACAACACATTGGATAGCTGGCCAATCAGCGTACACCTCGCTTTTCAGACCAATGAGCTTTGTAAAAATCGACACGTTTCAGAAAGGCGGGGCATAGAGGAGCAACAATAATGTACATTATGTGGAAAATAACGTTTTTTTTTTAACCTTAAACCGCATAAACACATTGCATTATACCAAATACACAACATAATGTTCTTTTTAGCAACGTCATATGACCCCTTTAACATTTGTAGATGGTCTAAAGCAGGGGTTTTCAACCTAGGGGGGCGCCAGCACCTGGCAAGGGGGGCACAAGCATCGGTTAATTCAGAGACGTTCTCTTGAGAATTTATGAATACGAGTTAACAAATATTTAGCCATCCACTAGGGGGCAATCTGACTCCCACTGCTAGTTGACAGAGCAGAGTTGGCTCGAGTATCAGTCACACTCAGTGTTGCCAAGTCCGTGGTTTTCCTGCGGAATTGGGCTACTTTAACACTTGCCGCGTTTTGTAGTTTTGGGCTAGTTTTGAGCAGCAATAAGGCGGGGTTTGTTGTGAAAAGCTGGCAACCCTGGTCACGCTTATTGACAGTGTAAGATGATTTACGATTAGCCGTGTTGGAAATCCAACCACGTACTGGCATGTAATCTCAGAAGCAGGCTCAGCCATCACATTGAATCGGGTAAACTGGTTATATATTTGTTTCAGTATAATTATGCACGCTATACCAGGGGTGGTTCTAAACCCTTTTTAGGTGGGTTTCAGCCCCCCAAAACTATCTTAACGATCAGGCCAGTGCTGCTTCCTCAAAAGTTTTAAGTCTTGTTAGTTTAAACATTAAAGTAATTTTAAGCCATTTAAGCCCAAGACATCTCAATGCGGTATGCACGCGCTGTGATAGAGCGTTTCTATGCGCACCGCTCACACACCTGAAGTGCACAAACAGATAGCCTTCTCAGACAGCAGGTGAATACCAATGGCTGTCTTGACAAATATCCTTGTCAGCACAGTCTGTTGTTTTAAGTGAATGTAAACAGTAAAGAAAATATCAAATGTATTTCAGTATAATGGATCCGTGCATTTATTATATAAATAATGTTAATCAAATAGAGCAAAAGAAATTAGGCGCGAGTGAAATTAGACCAACTTGGGGGGGCGCATGCCCTAAAGGGTTGAAAACCCCTGGTCTAAAGCAAAAGAGCTGTAAAAATTCAAAATCTTTTAGAGCTCCTTGTATTTAGGTTTTCATAATCCATTTGAAAAAATGAATGTATAAATCTGTATATATACAATTTTATTTATAAGTGTCATGTTTGTGTTTTTTTTTTTTTTTTCTATTCATGTAAGCCAGTGTTTCCCAACCGGGGTGCCGTGTAAAAAAAAATCATTTTTTAATATTTTTAAATTGCTAAAATGTTCAAAAAAAGCATCTATTATATAATATCTATTTCTGATGTCGCCAATAATTAGAGATGCACCGAAATTTCGGCTGCCGAAAATTAGATCACCGATCAGGTTTCACTTTCACGTGGTGTGACGCTCTGCGTATTATCCCGCTATATGCGTGTGCGCTCCGCTCAGTCGCTCCACTCGTATACCGTTCATGCTCATCGGAACAGCAAAGTCCACTCAAAAATTGAGCCGACAGGAAACATCGATGTAGTACAGTATTGTTTCTGTCTGCAATAGCCCTACTGTATTGTAACAAGGTGTGGTAAATGGGTTACTATCTTTACATTTATTTTGAAAGATGAAGCTCGCGATTATGGTAAGGGGCATTACATTTCCGACGCGTGCTTGTGGTGTTCGGCCGATCACAATGCACTGGGTCAGCTGGCCAATCAGAGCAGACTGCGCTTGTCGGAAGGAGGGACTTTGTAGAAAACGAAGCGTTTGAGAGAGGCGGGGCATAGAGGACCTACAATAATGTACAGTATTTGAAAAATAATGTGTTTTTTGAACATTAAAGCATGTCAACATATTCTGATGCACCAAATACACAAAATGATGATCTTTAAAAAAGCATCATATGACCCCTTTAAATATCTTAACCCTACTGTTAGATGTACCTGAAAAACTAAAAAGCAATTTATTTGATTCGAAGGCCTGTCGTTATTTTTTTATTTGTGCTATCATTATTAATTTCTTTATTTGTTCTTATTTTATTACTGACTGCTTACTTGTCATTTTTTTATTCAATTCAAAGTTTGAAATCAAGCTATCTCGTGCTACTGCACCAAAATTGCCCCACTGTAAAATAAAAAAAAACAGAGTGAGCAACAATTTGTGAGATAGCTAGTTATAATGGTAATTAAATAATGTTTACATATGTATAAAAGCCTACTTTAAAATGTCATATAAATTGGTCGCTTCATTAGAAATTAGCTTACTGATTGCCACCATTGATGGACAACATTTTTTAATTATATTAAAAATATCTGTATGACATTATATTCTGCAGTTCTTCCCGGTTGTACCGAATATCTATACTTTTCAAATTATCTTATCGAAGATAGAAATTCAAATATTGTGACAATTAATTTTGTAGGGTGCCACAAGTTTGTTATAATTTCCAAAGGGTGCCGCGACTGAAAAAATGTTGGGAAACACTGATGTAAGCTATAGCTTCTGACCTATTAATCGAAACATACTCGTGATTATGACATCAAATACTGTTTTAATTAATTAGAAACACAATCTTAACATGATTTGTGTATTTTACTTTCATTTTGTTATAAGTAGGCGAACAGCGCCCCCCAAGTAAATAAAACGCCTTAACGAACGGCATTAGGACCCGGGGGAGGCTGCCGCTGCTGCACTTGCTAGTGACCATTTATTCTATCGCACATCGGAGGTGTCGTTCTGTACATGTGTTCTCAAATTAAATGCGGTGATCCAAAACAGTGAATCTAATCATATTTAGACAAAAGTTTACTTCAAGATTGACCACACTATTGATGTGACTTTAGCTAGCACACCCTGAGCACTTGTGAGTTTTTCATCTTATCAGCAAGGCATATCAGCATATTTTTTTATAACGGGCCAATGACAGTGTTTACATTTTTGTCCATTATCAGCCAATTACGATAATGTCGTTCATCCCTAATAATTTCTTTAATATTGTTTAGTTTGACCGTTTTTTCTTTTAACAGGGAGTAGTGGTTTATTAATTAAATCTATAATTGGTCCATTTTTCGAAATGTTTTTTTTTTTGATAGATCTGTGGTATACCAGCAGAGCTCAAAAGAGTCAGCCACCTTGCAGCCCTTCTTCACGCTGCAGCTGGACATCCAATCAGAGAAGATCCGCACAGTCCAAGAGGCCCTGGAGATACTGGTGGCACGGGAGTCTGTTCAGGGCTACACCACTAAGAGCAAGCAGGAGGTGTGACTCATTAACAGTAAACATCATCTACCCACAGATGTGTCTACGTTAGTTTTTCTGTGGGTTGTTGATGTTGACCCCTTTAAGTTTTCTACACGCACTGAGTGTTTCCTATCTCTCTTTTTGTGTGATGCTGGTTTTCAGAACTATCAAATGGATCACACTAATCGACCAGCCGTAAAAACTGCTGCTGCATATTAAAATGGTTCATCATGATTTTCAGATCTCTTGTCACCGGGGGTGCGGGGCAAAACTCTGAAAGGCCAGAGAACCTACAGGCTCTTTGCAGGTATGTTTGTTTTGGTTTATTCCATTGTTATACTGCAACTAGACATTTAAGTCTACTCTTTGTGGTGCAGTTGTGCATTGAGCTCTAAATTCTAAACATTCTCTGACCGAACAACTAAAAATCAGTAACAGCTGTGTTTTGGTCCATTCTGTCCAGCACTGAGAGACGTGACTGGTACCATGTGACAACAGCATCTCTGGTGCTTCAGTGAGCTGGAAACTAAAGTGTCATGAAACCCCCGTTTCAGCACTGGTCTTTCACACCTTAGATCTGAAAAAAGTTGGGAGAAAATCCGATGTGTGTCAATATATTGTCTTAAAGTGACAGACTGGCGCTTGGGCCATCAAAATGCAAAGAGAAAATCACTCAAAGCTCTTAATCTGAATAACGTTATAGCTTTAATAAGCATGAATCTATCAATACATACACTGAAAACTATGCAGTGTTCATCTACATTTGATTACTTTTAGATTTCTTTTGTAGGCTATTACTTACCTGAACAGGAATGTTAGTAGAACTTCATGGAAAAATGACAGCACTGTTTATTTCATTTGTATATTTGTTTTATTGCATTTGTCAGTTTGTTTTACTTTGTTTCTTTGTTCATGTTATTACTGTATCTTATCTTATAAACACTAAAAATGCCTGCAGACTGGTGCATTTACAAATTACAGTGTGCTGAAATGGTTTTATATTCATTTCATTAAATATTTATTTTACATTTCAGAATATAAAGCCATGTTAATTCATCTCTTAATTTGTCATATATATAAATAAATAAAACAAAAAGTACCGATAAGAATACCGTTAAAGTACCGAATCGATAAGCAGTATCGGTAAGAGTAGTAATACCGTTAAAACCTTAACGATACCCATCCCTATTTATAATAGTACTTTACGATTGTTGCTTGTCAGACTGTACGAACATGATGATCATGGCACACTGTGGGTTCTCAGTTGTCATTTAAAAGGGATAGTTCACCCAAAAATGAAAACTGTTATTAATTACTCACCTTCATGTAGTTCCAAACCCGCAAGACCTTCGTTCATCTTCGGAACACAAATTAAGATATTTTTGATGAAATCTAAGAGCTTTCTGACCCTGCATAGACGGCAACGCAATTGAAATAGTAAGGACATCATTAAAACTGTTCATGTGACATCAGTGGTTCAACCTTAATTTTACGAAGCTACTAGAATACTTTGTGTGCAAAGAAAACAAAAATAACGATTTTATTCAACAGTTCTTCTGAACTGCATTACACGGAGGGCTGAAATGTTGGCCATCATGAAAAGTCTATGAACGCTGGCAAAACTGGTGTATTTAAGACAATAGTGCAAGCAGCACTACACACCAACATGAAAACAGCAGCGCAACCAGTGTTTATCATAGCAAAGGAAACGTATCATATGAATTCCGTGAGCGGGGAATGGGAGCGCCGGAGTTTATGCTGTTAGAAGAAATCTCTAGCATTAATTATCATGGCTTGTCTTGAAAAATGAAGGTGGTTTGACATTCATCGTAGGTGAAGTTGCACTGCAGTGCGCCAAATCTTCTGACACTACCAGAATTTGTCTGAGGTCAAATTTGATCGCAGTGGTCATTAATTGGATGTCGTTGAATATGTCAAACTAACAATCTAAGACTACAGATTCTAGTCTTGGGGGAATCTTTTAGGATTTGAGGCAATTGTTTCAGGTGGCCAAATCTTGGCTAAAGTCGTACAGTGTGTGCTCGGCTTCAACTTTACTCGTTCTGTTTTCAGATCTTTGATTGCTAAGAGTTAAAAAGGTTCTGCTGAGTCACAGGCATAACTACATTTGAAGAAATAGGGGAAAGACATCAAGGCTTGTTTGCTATGAGCTTCTGTGCACACGGATGTTACCTAAGAATGGCCCTCAGCTATACAGCGTGGTGTAAAATCCCCTGCCCGATAATTTGTAATTTGGACCTTTTCCACAGTTAAATGCTAATCCTGTTTATATGAGCTTACCTGACGGGCCTGTGCACAAATACTTTTATTATGGCTTCCAGCAAGTTGTCATCAAGACGTACACCTCCATCCTTCCAGCACCTTCCTATTTGTTGACTAGTTAGGCCTAGTCTTTCTCTTCTCTGCCCCCCCCACACGACATACTGACCTGTTTAAGCACATATGGCCTTACCTTACAGGGGAATGTTCACCTTTTTACCCACCTCCAGGAGTGAATTGTAGTTTATTTTTCTTTCTGAGGGGAAAAAGTGGCTCCCTGCTTGTCAAAGTAGCCTGTCCAGCAACCCCTAGCAACAGTTGCCATACCAGTACATTTCCCCGAAGCCTATTTTCTGACTGTTTTCCCATGTTTGAACATCTGGTAAGAGTGGAAAATACAGAGATTATTGTCTCTAAACTTTTCATTTAATCGTCTGTGATATAGCACACATTATATTTCACCTTTCCTTACCGTAAACGTTACTGGCAGCCAAGCATTTACTGCAATAAGTGTTGAATGTGTCCTATCAAGTCTGTATTCTGCCAGTTTTCCTGTGCGATTTGATATTAGAGACTGCCAATCAATCCAACAACTGTGCTTGTATCACTGTAGTTATTACACTCGCTGTATATTACAATTATTTTTGCTATAATAACTATGTAGTAATGCCTGTTATTTTTTTTTAAGTGCTTTACGAGTGAAATGCTTCTAATAATTTTTTCTCTATTTGGGACTCTGTAGATTCAAAACAGCTGATTACATAATGTGAAGCCGTTTTGCATTGAATCCAAACTTAAGTCAAAAACAACAGTCAAAGGAAAATAATAGTCAGAAATGTGACTAATCCGATCTGGATTCATTATTAAAAAGCCAATATATGCACACCTGTGACCGCATGAGTTGAATTGTGTAACGCTGAAGGTTGCAACAATGTTTAGCTACTGTAAACAACTAAACTTCTGCTGCCTCTTGATTTGTTTTGGACACATCTGGCACTGTATTTTCACACAGCTGCACAGAAATATCTACCATGCTATAGGAGTGGCAGCAAAAGCTATTGGTGTGAATTTGAGTTTTGTACATGCTGAGTCCTTTGTGTTTTCCCGCAGTCGTCTATCACCATGGGAACAGTGCCACGGGTGGCCACTACACTACAGATGTCTTCCACATCGGTCTGAACGGCTGGCTGCGCATTGATGACCAGGTGGTGAAGATCATCAATCAGCATCAGGTGGTGAAGCAGACTGCAGAGCGCACTGCCTACCTGCTGTACTACCGTCGCGTGGACCTGCTGTAGAAACCATACTCGTACACACAAACACTCTCTCGCTCTCTCTCACACACACACACACACACAAAAGACTTTCCTGTAAAAGTGTGTTCCCCCTCCGTGCACGGCCTCGCCGTGCAGAAGCTGGCCTCGTCTGGAGAAGCTGAGGGGAGAAATGTTAGCACTGCAGAATGCTCCAGTTCGGAGAGACCGATCTGAATCACTGCAAACGTCCGCAGCTTCACGTTTGACTGGCCAGAGTGGATTCCAACTGAAAGAACTCAAACCAGTCGAGGCTGATGGACTGCTGGAGAAAATCATTCTTTTTCTTTGTCTGTTTTTGTTTAATCTACTTTTTTAAATGGCATAGGAGAAAATATGAAGTGTTTTGCCTTTTAGCAAGAGGAGATGTCGGCCTAATTTGCAGCAGTTAAGTGGAGCCTGTTAAATTCTTGACTAGAGCATCAAAGTGGCCCAACACCAGCAAGCTGCCAAAATTTGTGTAGATCTCAATGTAGGAGTTTGTCGCCTCCCCAAGAAAGACACTCCACCAACACCACCACAACCTCTTCTCTCCCCCATTTCTCTGCTTCAGATCTAGATTACACTCGAGTCATGGGAAAAGCAAAGATAGCGATTGGGAGAAAGGGTGCTGCAGTGTGCTGAAATGGTAAAAAGCAAAATAAGAAAAAAAGAAAAAAAACTACAATTGGCTTCTTGGTTTGAGACCTTCAGTGTGATTTTTGGGTGTAGGATTAGAATGACTATCTTAAAATTTTAATGCGCTTTAGGACATAAATGATTACAAAAGCTTTGTGCACGTTAAAATATAAAACCGGACGATATAAAAGGGCAGATGTGCGTCGTTTGCACATTTCTTGCAGATATTTAAGTTTTAAAAGTATTAAAAGCAAAAATCTGAAACTTGCGGCGGCGGTCACCTTGTGAGGGGGGGAGGGGGGGCTTGTTCTTTAGGCTTTTTGTGTACTTTCACGCGTTCATCCTGGCGAGATACCAGAGATGTCCGATACTCCATCATGAACCTAGACTCGCGTAAATTTTCTGTGCCCTCTCGCCATCTTTTATTAGTTCTGTTCGTTCGTTTCCTTGTATTGTACGAGTAAAATGTATCCGCTGTCCACTGGCTGCCTTTTGATGTCAGTAGAGCAGCAAGAACTGAGCCACACCTGCCAACTTTGGAGAGGGAGCAGTGTTGAGATATATCTGGTCTGCTTCTCATTCTGTATGTTAGCCCGCTCCGAGCAGTCAGCCTGTAATATACATGTTGAGGCTCCGTGTGCAGCTCTGAGGATAATATCTCAGAATGGATGGCAAGAAATGTCTCTTACTGCAGTTAATTTGCAGTGTTGCACGAGGTGAGATCAGCTTTGCCTGACGAAGCCTAAAGTGCGACCGCAGATGCGCACAAACAGCAAATCATGTTTGCGTCCGTTTTAGAGACATTGCATCATCAATATTATACCTGATTTTATTTTATTTTTATTTTTGTTTTGTTTTTCATTCCCCATTCGCATATTTTCTGTTCCATTTAAATTGATATTTTGAAAGGAAATGACCCAAGGTTAAAGCACAACAATGAATAAAGTTATACAAGTACTATGCTTGACCTTATTTATTTCATTTGAATTTTTAATTTTAATTTTTTTTGTAATTTAAATTAAATTTTCCACATAATAAAAGTATCACTGACATAAGTTATTTTTTATTTAATAACTGACACAGGAACTTTGCTTTACTTCCCAGGCCCAGAAAGGATAGACAGGCTTTTTGCATTTTCTGCACTGATATGGGTGGAAAATCTTGTTAAACCGAGCTGAGATTACTACAAACTTTGTTGGTAGCTGAAGTCATCATCAAATGAGTGAAGTTGTTAAATAAAAGGGGTTTGAGTGATGAGCGTTTGAAAACTCTGCACACATTCTTGTTCATCACCCTATTACTGATTATACCTCTAATAACAAATAACTTTTTGGGAATGTTTCAGGCTGTACACTCGATGTATCCAATCTTTACACAAGCGATACATGCATTTTAGCCCCTCACTTTTTGTTGTTGGCAATTGTAGAAAGTCAACACGTCGCTTCCAGGAACAGATCCTTTGAGCTGAGCTCTTCACACAGTCCTGCCTCTGACCACAGGTTAGGCTGGTGTGAACTCATTTTCCACTCTAGAAATGCAGAGCATGAATTTCACATCAACCTGAATGAGTTTATTTTATCCCAGCAATACGAGCACAGTCAGAATCTTCCCTCGATTCCATGCAATCCCAGTTTTTGTCATTTCATTTACAGTCATTTGAAATGTCAGATTTTGTGTACATAAAGGGTCGTTTTTTTCCTTTCAATTGCTTGAGTACAGTTGCCAAGTCATGCTTTACCGTGTGCCCTTTTGAACTTCTTGAATTTGGTTGATTTGAATCTACAGAAGGACACAAGGAACGCATCCCCCACGTGAAACCAAAGGATACAGAACTTCTATATAAACAGACACTGATGCCTCTTGTGATTGCTAGAAGATAAAATGTACAAATTAAGTATTTTTCCCCCCCCCTCAACCTCCCAAACTTTGATGTCTTCATGTGCACCATTCAAGAACATGACCTGATTTCAGTTGACATGCTGACTCGTCACCGGAAGAAGCTTTTGGAAAAATCACCACTGTTCCTGACTTGGTTTTAATGTGTTAACGCCCGTTTGGTCGCATCTGATGCACTCATCATGTCTTGTTTGTTTCTTTTGTCTCTTTCAAGTTGGAGATCTGGATTTCATGTATTAGTTTGACTCATTGAGGCGGTTTCTTTCTCTTCCTTCAGTATGTCGGTCAGGGAAAGTCCTGGTGTATAGTTCAGATGCTGTCTGTCTTTTCGGTTTGTGCTTCCTAACCCTTGTGTCTGCTGAGGTATTTAATAACTGACACAGGAACTTTGCTTTACTTCCCAGGCCCAGAAAGGATAGACAGGCTTTTTGCATTTTCTGCACTGATATGGGTGGAAAATCTTGTTAAACCGAGCTGAGATTACTACAAACTTTGTTGGTAGCTGAAGTCATCATCAAATGAGTGAAGTTGTTAAATAAAAGGGGTTTGAGTGATGAGCGTTTGAAAACTCTGCACACATTCTTGTTCATCACCCTATTACTGATTATACCTCTAATAACAAATAACTTTTTGGGAATGTTTCAGGCTGTACACTCGATGTATCCAATCTTTACACAAGCGATACATGCATTTTAGCCCCTCACTTTTTGTTGTTGGCAATTGTAGAAAGTCAACACGTCGCTTCCAGGAACAGATCCTTTGAGCTGAGCTCTTCACACAGTCCTGCCTCTGACCACAGGTTAGGCTGGTGTGAACTAATTTTCCACTCTAGAAATGCAGAGCATGAATTTCACATCAACCTGAATGAGTTTATTTTATCCCAGCAATACGAGCACAGTCAGAATCTTCCCTCGATTCCATGCAATCCCAGTTTTTGTCATTTCATTTACAGTCATTTGAAATGTCAGATTTTGTGTACATAAAGGGTCGTTTTTTTCCTTTCAATTGCTTGAGTACAGTTGCCAAGTCATGCTTTACCGTGTGCCCTTTTGAACTTCTTGAATTTGGTTGATTTGAATCTACAGAAGGACACAAGGAACGCATCCCCCACGTGAAACCAAAGGATACAGAACTTCTATATAAACAGACACTGATGCCTCTTGTGATTGCTAGAAGATAAAATGTACAAATTAAGTATTTTTCCCCCCCCCTCAACCTCCCAAACTTTGATGTCTTCATGTGCACCATTCAAGAACATGACCTGATTTCAGTTGACATGCTGACTCGTCACCGGAAGAAGCTTTTGGAAAAATCACCACTGTTCCTGACTTGGTTTTAATGTGTTAACGCCCGTTTGGTCGCATCTGATGCACTCATCATGTCTTGTTTGTTTCTTTTGTCTCTTTCAAGTTGGAGATCTGGATTTCATGTATTAGTTTGACTCATTGAGGCGGTTTCTTTCTCTTCCTTCAGTATGTCGGTCAGGGAAAGTCCTGGTGTATAGTTCAGATGCTGTCTGTCTTTTCGGTTTGTGCTTCCTAACCCTTGTGTCTGCTGAGGTCTTGATGCGTTGGGAAATTGAGCTAAATACAAACTATATGCTGTGTCTCATCCTTGTCCTTCAGCCTTCTACTTTTGTCAACTGTTCAAATAAAAAATAAATTGTGGCAAAGCTTTATTTCTATTTGCGGATTCAAGTCCGAAGCCTTTCAAATGAGGCTTTTCATTGTAGTCTTTTCCATCGCATGTTGCCCCCTCTCGTGAGTAATGTGCAGCGTAACCACGAGCAAACATGAAATTAAAAAGAAACCGATCCGTCCAATTCCTCCTCCGCATGTATTGTAAACTAACCCCCAAGTAGGTTGAATTTCAAAATGGCTTTTCTTTGTGTGTTATTCCACATTTCTGCCATAGTTCTTATGTTCTCAGTCTGGACGTTCTGCATGCACTTGTGGCTCAGTTGGCTGTCTGTTCGTCCAGTGTGCAGTTTCTGGGTTAAGTGGCCTCATTGTTTGTCTTATAAAGGCGGCCTCATCACTTGTTGGAAAAGAGCTTCGGTAACACTTTACTTGAAGGGGTGTGCATAAGACTGACATGACACCTTCATAATCATGACATGACACATGTCATGAATATGAAGGAGGTTTTATGCATGTTTATGAAAACTGTCATTAAGTGTCATTCACTCAGTTTTGTCATTTTTAATGCAAATATGACATTATTTGACCTAACCCTAACCTAACCCTTACCCCTAACCATAGCCCATAACAAAGACATCTCAAATAATGTCATCTTTGCATAAAAAATTACATAACTGAGCGAATTACTCTTAATGACAGTTGTCATAAACATGCATAAAAAACCTTCATATTCATGACATGTGTCATGTCATGATTATGAAGGTGTCATGTCAGTCTTATGCACACCCCTTCAAGTAAAGTGTAACCAGAGCTTCTCCACACAGGTTTGGTCGTTGCTTTTAAACATGCAGTCAAATGTGGTATTTTATTTGTTAATATCATAAGACGGTTTAAGATTCGTTACAGGGGCTGCAATCTAGGGTTGGATTGGATGATCATAGCCAGAATGTATTTGGAAAGTGCCCATACTTGGTGCATAGCCTGGCGCTGATCTTTTGTTGGTGGAGGTTACATCTGTGTTTTTAAGTTCCAAAAGAAAAACACACGAACGCTATGAGGTTCACTGCATTAGATAATGTTGCAAACCAAGTGGTCATTTTTTATAAGTAGCTCATACGCTTAAAGCAAAATATGTTGATTATATTTTATTTATTAATATTATTTTTATTTTAATATGCACACTCCTGTTCAAATGTTAGGAGTTTTGAGTTTTTTTGAGAGTCATGCTATCCAATCAGAAATACAAAGCCATAATTTTGTGAAATAATATTACTATTTAAAAAAAGTTTTCGATTTAAATTTTTTTTGTATACAGTGTAATTAGTTCCAGTGACTCCAGCGTCATTACTCCCGTTTTCAGTGTCACGTGATCCTTCAGAAATCATTCTAAGATGATTTGCTGCTCGAGAGTTATTGATATATTTAATATTTTTGTGGGAACCATGATGAAACGGATAAATAGAGAAGAACATGTATTTAAAATAGAAATCTATTGTAATGTTTTAAGTTTTCTTTGTCACTTTTTATCAGTTTTAATGCTTAATAAAAGTGTTAATTTATTCGAGAAAATACAATACACACGCATATATGAAGAGTTCAGATGCTAAAGCCTTGAAGTGCCGTCTGAAATTTTCTTCTAAAATGAGCGTTTTTATCAGGCTCATATATTTATGTTCAGTTATTTCACATTGCATAGAAAAGGACATATATATTGTCATTAGAGTAAAATTACTGAACCTAAACACAGGAGCCTGATAAAAATGCTCATTTTAGATGAAAATTTCAGATGGCACTTAAGAGGCTTTTGCATCTGAACACTTCTCTCTCTCACACACACACACACACACATATATATATATATATAGAAATGGCCATTAAGATTTGGGTGGTTAAAAACTAAATTAGCTCAAATCGAACACATGAGCTAAACTAAATATAAATGGCCAGTAACGGTGTCACTGGTGTAAATTGTGATTCTCTACATGCTGTGCATTTAGATTTGGATGGTTAAAGAATTCGGCTCAAATCTAACATGAACAAAAAGCCACAAAACCTTGTCTTTGATTTTGTTGGGGTCCTTAAAAAAACATTGCTTTGTAACTTGAATCCCCACTATCGCAGTTATACGTTGGCCTCTGATTGTCTTATAATGATGTAGTATTACTTCATGATTGTCTTGGCTGCTTGAACAGATCTTAAAAGAATTCCGTTTAGAAAAGAGGAAAGATCTTTTACAAGTTCTTACAACAATAAATTGTCTTGGTGCTGCTGACCATCCCATAATTAGCATTTGACATGGAGCAGTTCCCTCTTTCCCCGTCCAGGGTTGGCAAAGACCAGCTCACTCAAACAAAGTGCAGGCATTGAGTCTGAAGTGCACAGGAATCTTAAACATGCGCCTCATCCCAAGGAGAACAGCATATTCAAAACAGACAAATTGTTTCTAATGCCCATGTTACAGTGTGGATCCTGGCACAGTGATGGGCGTTAGGACTTCGGGTTGAAATGAACATTGTGTTTAATGTACCGTTTCACTGAAAACACCAAATTCTAAGTGGTTTCTTCTTCCTTCATGGTCAAGTATTGCTGAGCTGTTAGAAATGCCAAGGGAATAATGGCTCTTTTTCTTCTAGGTGTTCAAATGTGGAATATAATTCGAAGGAATGAAATCCATGTAACTCATGGCATTCCAAGCAATGTTGTTTTAGTATCATTAGGGGCTTTCGCTCTGGGTGGTGATAGGAACTGAACTACATTTCACCCTAGGGCTGTTTTCTTAGTTGCATTCGCACCGCTGGTAGCAATGCATTTAAGCGCAACATTCAACTAGGTCAACAATTGGAGGATGGGGAAATCACCATCTATGGCTGTTTCCATGTTTGTGTTTACACATCTTTTTAAAAATGGTAGGTGCAGGTGTTACGTACGGCATGTGTTCAGCCGATCAACATACGTTTGTATCACTGGTACTTCCTGTTGTGCTGGGTTAGACACTACTCTGAATTTAGTCCCAAAAGGCGTTGCTATAAAATCAAGTTCCTAAGGTGTGAATGTGCCAAAAAGTGTGTACTTCCTCCAATAGTTACAGGAACTGTGAAAATGTTTCTCCAACGTGAAAGCCCCTATTGAGATACTATTCGTTTTTATTAATTATTAATAAATAAAAGTATTTTTATTAGTGCTGTCAAATGATTAATCGCATCCAAAATAGAAGTTTTTGTTTGTATATACAAACACATGCATGTATATATGTTGTGTATATATATTAAATATATTTATATATAATATAAAATATAAGAATATTAATGTATATACATGTAAATATTTTCAAAATATATATTGTGTGTGTGTGTGTTTATATATACATAATAAATATACATAGTACACATACATATATTATGTAAACAAAAACTTTTATTTTGGATGCGTTTAATCGTATGACAGCATTCATTTTTATATTCATTTAAAGTAGATTTTATATTTTCCAGTTTTAGGTTATTGTCATTTTTCTTATGGTTAATTAAGTTTTCGGTTCTTTAGGAGTATTAATTAATGATAATAATAACCCTGGTCCCAAGACTTTGGTTCATCACAAATGAAAATATTTTTTATGAAACCGAGAGATTTCTATCTAGAGCCAGGCTTCTGGAATTGGGTGTTCATTTTCCACGCAGTTTTCAGTATTTATAAACGACAGCGTTTCTTAATATTTTGATTTGCCGTTTAGTTTTATGTTTTTAATTTGAGCAATTCTGTGTATTTTTTTTTTCTTTTTAGCTTTCATTTATTTCTATTCCAGTTTTAGTAATTTAGTACTTGCACTTAGTTGCCAAGGCAACATTTCTAATCATCCAAGTTTTTTTTTTAATTGAAGAATTGTTTAATTTCAGATTTAATTCAATATATTTAAACCCTTTTTATAGTTCAAGTTAACAATAACAGCAGTTCAAAATGCATATTTTTCTGAGCCGACCATGTGAATGTCAATAGGCAGCAGGTAGGTTATTAAAAAAAAGTCGCTTTAATGTTTTTAAAGGAATAGTCGACCCAGAAATATAAATTCTGGCATCATTTACCCTCGTGTCATTCCAAACCTGTATGCATTATTTTTTTTTCATTTGCTGCTAAACACAAACAAAGATATTTTGAATAATGGTGATGATAACCAAACATTTTTGGTTCCCATTCACTTCTGTTGTATTTCAATGGAAGTCATTGGGAACTGAAACTGCTTAGTTACCAACATTTTTGGTTGGACTCTCTCTTTAAGAGCCCTCAAAAAAGTATCGGGCAGTGATGAAACATCAGCTTATATAGAATAACATATTTGCTACTTATTTATTGCTTATAAGTTATTTTAAAAGAATACATGAATACAGTGTTTACAAGTTATTTCAAAAGAATGCATGGCTAATTTTGAATGCACTTCAATGGAGAAAGATGATTTTTGCCCTCAAAATGGCATAGTTGCGGCATCTACCAGCAGGGTCTGACTGGACCGTACCGTTATACCATTGCCCAATACTAACTGGATTTAATAACTAATGTGGTCATGGGACAGTCCTTGCTTTCAGCCTCCATTGCTCCTTTTTTAGCTGCTTTTCTATCTTGTGAAATGCATCTGTTGTAGTCTTTCTGTTGTAATCTGTTGTAGGTTTTCAACATCTCTACTACTTACTGAGAGGGTCTCCAAACTTTACTGTTGAATCACTGAGGTAAGCAAATAAACATCGTAGGGCAATGCAGCTCTCACCAAATAAACAACTGAGCATGAGGCTGAGGTAAGTTTGACCCCTCATACACCATACACCTCTGGTCAGCAACTGGACTTAAACTTCACTCGGTCAGGGTCACGGCTGGTGATCTGTGCAGGAAGAAACACTGGCAATTACATTCAGACCATCACTGATTACATGAGACTCACTGAGGATGTTTGTGTAATGCAGTTTTCTGTTCAATGTTTGTGTGCAGATATGGATTAGCAGGGACTGTTGGTCTCCAGAATTGAATCAACATGGGATGTTCTCAGAGGATTTGAGGTCATCATGACCTGTCATGAACTGAAGTCTTGTGTGGAAATCAAGGTTAGCACCCGCTAGTGGATACATGAGGAATAAATACTCTAGAGTGGAAATCGGTGTAGTGCACACTGCTCACTGTATGTGCTAATTATGAAATATGGCTTGTGAAAAAAGTGTGCTTAATTGTTTTGAATGTGCACTCCAAATCTTAAAAGTATATAAAAAAAACAACAACTGTATTTGTAGATAATATTCATTAAATAAAAAGCCACATGCATAGTGTTCACTTTTACGTTTCTTAACACGCTTAAGTACACTTTTAAAAAGTGCCCTTTGTAATATGTCAACACTTTAAATGATTGTATTAGCAATCTTTTATCGCGTTTGAAAGAAGTACACTCATTTTGATGTGTTGACTAACATACTAAAGCACATGCAACATACTTGATTGCAATTTTAACTATTAGATCACATTTAATATATTTTAAATGCACTAAATTGCAACTTCATTATTACAAATGTTATTTAAATGCATGAAAAAAAGTTTCAATAGAAATTACATTTCACTTTTTTTATTTTGCCATGAATGCTTGTCAGTACATTTAGCTGTACTTTAACCATATTTCAAAGACAATAGAAGTCATTATGAAATTTTATGTAATTAAATGTCAGAAAACGGTACATTCAGTTCACACTAAAGTATATATATATTTTTTTAAGTATACTATTTCCATTATAAGTGCTCTTTTTAAAAGTATGCTGAAGTCCTATTTCCACAAGGCACGTTTTAACAACATTAAACATAATATACTTAACATTTTTTACATAGTATTATCTAAGAAGATAATGTGATTATTTTTAATCTTTTAATTCTTGTGCCGTGCATTATGGGATACAGTAACCAGCACAGCTGTGTATAGTGTTTTGGCAAATGCATGTATTCTATGTATACAGAAAACTGGCGTACTAAGTACAATATATTGTATACACATCATATTTTACTGCACAACTACTAATATGGTAGTATGCTTTACTAAACGAATTCACAGTCCCAATACAAACTAACACTCAACCACGTTCGCCAAGGCAGTTGTTGAAATTCTGCCTGAATATATAAATTGCTGAATCATGCGTCAGCGTAATTGAAACCAATCATACACAGTTATTGTGTTTATGCTCCTGAAAGCCAATAAAACATCTTTATATTTACAATTGTGATGTTGCCATGTGCCATGAATCACAGCTTGATGCAAAGGAGCCAGTACAAACACAATGAAAAGAAAGCACCAAGGACACCCCTTTACAAAGCGTTCGGGTTCAAGTGCCAAAAGAGCAGCCGCTGTGTTTGAACGGTTGACTTTTACTGAACATTTCTCTGGTTACGCAAAAAGTAGTGCGCTGGTCCCCGTGTTTCCCCCCTCAGTAAGAAACATTGTTTAATAGGTTAATCTGCTGAGCCTCAAACTCTGCTATATAAACCTGAGATTATGGCTTCCCCTCTCACCGCCGAGCTCTGGGATTGTTGTGCTTGGACTTCAGTGTCCCAGCTCAGTTTTCTCATAGAAGAGAAAGTGATTAAAATACACAACGCAGGGAATGAGTCTGGTTTGGAAGAAGGTAACATGCGGCTGCTAGTTTTCAAAATATATATTGTGTGTGTGTGTGTTTATATATACATAATAAATATACATAGTACACATACATATATTATGTAAACAAAAACTTTTATTTTGGATGCGTTTAATCGTATGACAGCATTCATTTTTATATTCATTTAAAGTAGATTTTATATTTTCCAGTTTTAGGTTATTGTCATTTTTCTTATGGTTAATT